CAGATTCCATTGGATTCAGGAGAGATTATCATCTGAGTGCCTAGACAGCAGACAGGTTCTGGAAGGGAAAAGATGTAGCAATTTCTATCAGCAGACCCACCCAGCAAGTCTGGCTGGATGAGGTTTGAGAGAATGACTTTATTCTATTATGCATTGTACCATATGTAAGCAGCTATGATATATAAAATGTAAAAACGAACGGTTGCATTGTTATTCCTGGTAAGACAAACTTCTTAAGAACACAGTAAGAAGTAAATACACAACGTGAAGCAGAAGCAAAGACAGCTAGAGACAAATTCTAGACGATCACAAGGCTACTAAGATATGTAGTAAGAAAAGATGCATGGGCCGTACGTAGGTTGTGGCGACCGGAGTTGGTTCCCCCGCTCTCCACGTTTGACAGACAGGCCAATATGGTACTACAGACTGCTTAAAATCGTGAAAAAAGACAAGCGTTGCGTTTGCACGAACAAAGTTCATTACCGAGAACTGATATTGGGTTCAAACCCAGAACTCCACCAAAAGAGACCCATCACAAGTTTCATCCATGTGCCATAAGATAGCATAGCCCAAGAAAACGTTTACCAGAAATATTTCACGAATTAGGCATTGTGTTTTTAATGGCTTTGAGTGAATTTTGGTAACGTTATAATCAGAATAAGTTTAACGCTAGTAAATGTATCGTTAAAATGTTAGTCAGAATAAATTAAGGCTAGTAAATGTATCGTTAAATCGTAACAGTCAGAATAAATTAACACTAGTAAATGTATCGGTAAAACTTTCTACATAGTCAAAACAAATTAACTTTAGTAACGTATCGTTACAGTTAGAATAGATCAATAAATTAAGGTTTGTAAATGTATCATTAAATCGTTATAGTCAGAATAAATTAAAGTTAGTAAGTGTATCGTTAAAATGTTATAGCCAGAATAAATTAATCCTAGTAAATGTATCGTTAAAACGTTACAGTCAAAATAAATTTATGCTTGTAAATGTTTCGGACAAACATGTATTTGTCGACGTAACAATATTTACAGAAGAATCGGTAACGAGATTTACTGATATAAGTATTGTAAATTACGGAGTAGTTGTGGTAGATATAGAGAATCTCCTGCTCGTCTCCTACTGACACCAGTTAAACTTTGGGATGATAGTAATACAGATGTCCAAGATGGGGAAATGCTTAGTACTACACGAGCAGAATCGTTTTCACAGAAGAATGACATCAAGACAATGACAGGAAATGACAAGTTTGAAACTGTGACTCAGAATGAATTCGACACTCCATCAGGTAATGATGGACATGAAGCGTTGGCACAGAATGATGTATTCGACAAGATGATACATAATGGCGGATTTCAAACCATGACACATGATGAACAACTGTTCAGAACGACACATGATGAACAACTACAAACCACGACACATCATAAGCAACTTGAATCCACGACACATCATGAACAACTTCAAAACACGACACATCATGAACAACTTCAAAACACGACACATGATAATGAATTTGACATAGTACAGCATGAAGATGAAGTTTTGGAATTTGAAAATCCGTACTCAACTTATTTAGGCAACTACCAGTGTATAGGAAAATATTCTCCAGTTTCCAGATTACCCGATATAACCCCAACTGGAAAATATTCTCCAGTTTCCAGAATACCCGATATAACCCCCCAGCACCAGTCTTCAGATGGAAACGGCAATTTAGATGTCTGTATTGTAAATCGCTCGTTCTGAGAATTACAATTGTTAGAAGATGAATATTGTAAACTACATGTATAACCATACACGGGTAGTCCACAAGTTAAATAAAATATAAATTTTCAAATCTAAATAAGAATCTCACATTTGTCCCACTTTGCCCCCTTAGATGCGGTACTTGACAGCATGGTGTATATTCGCCTTCATTAGCTCAGTCAGTGCAGACAAGTAGCAGGGGATCAGAATTTTTTGTTATTGTCCTGAAAATGGAAATGTCGTTCAGTGACTTTAAGCATAACATAGTTTATGTGGAAGAGATCCGGTTGTAAGCATTTTTTTATGACCCCATTCTATAAGCATAACCAGTCGGAGAACCATGCCCCACCCACCCTAAATATATATCGTTGAATAAAAATCCTAGACAATCCAGGAAAGCCGTGTTGTCCGGTCGTGTGTTTTTGTATAGTGGGTTTTGACCACTATCGCGGTTTGACTTTTTACTCATTTGTGTTCAGTGCCTCATTTTGGTATTTTAGTTATATGAAAGTGCCCTTAAACATGACAAGTGGTTGCCATGCATGATCCGCCCACATTTTGCAAGGGATAGACAGAGACCGAGCTAAAAAAAAGTAATGTGATTTTTTTCTACAATCAGGGGCCATAATCCAGGAAGATACGGTCCGATATGCGCGAATATAGAAAGGAACCAAGATTTGTGGAATATGAAAATACTTTTCAAGTTTCATCAAAATCGGATAAAAATTATGACCTAGAGGGTCCACAACCTTCTTATTACATTCTTTTACACAATTTGTGTACAAACAGTGGCCATTTTGTCGGGCAGTTTCATTTCAATTTTCCCGAAATTCGAATTTAACCTTTATTATGGTGAAATGGTGATATATTTAAACGGTTTTTAAAATCGGATTGTGACCTCTAAAGAATCCGGAAGCTAAAAATGTGGGCGTATAAAAATGGTAAAACCTTAACATGAAAACAATACCATTGCTATTATGAAAATACAAAACAATACCAAGTTCGTATGTTAAAAGATTAATATAACTAGAACTCCAAAGAGTACTGACGTGTTTCGGTACGTCACTCACGCCAGGTCACGCCTTGTCACGTAAACAATCAAGTTACACCATGAATTATTGAGTATAGTAACTAAGGATTGTTGCCATTTGGAGTAGGTTCAATACAAAAAAAAAGTTTTCGAAAATCGGAATTAAAATGGCGGCTGAATATCGATTTGAATGTTTTTTGGTAAAATCCAATGTGGCGGCCAAGTGGCTGAAAATGTTATGGAACAAGGTCTTTGGAAATTAAAGATAATATCTGGGACTAACACCACCATATGTCATTTTTTGTCTATTTTTAAAATGAAGAGTACTATTCATGTTCGGAAAGAATTGGAAGGCCTCGTTAATTTCAGGAAGTTTCCCGAAGCCGTCACAAAATTTTTTAATATGCCATGTTCCTTATTCCTACAAAGTTTCAACTTACCTCAAATAGTGACGGAGATACGACATCTTGAAAGTCGACAAAATGATGAAGAAAACATATATATTAACTCTAGTATATGTATCATTAAATCGCCACAGTCGGAATAAGTTAAAGCTTGTAAATGTATACTCAAAGCCATTAAAAATGCAATGCCAAATTCAAATTTTATTTACTGCAACAACTTTTAACAAATGTACATAACAATTGACAAAATCGAGATAACAAGCATCTGTGGATAATTTTATGAAAGAATTCACTACAAATGCACAAAACCGAAACGTCAGAGAACCGTGAAACAAAGCAGGGGTCAGCTCTTACACATGCCTGAAGTCGCCTTGGCATGGACTGGCACAGATGTTTCACTACACGCTGTGGGATTGTTTGCCAATGATTTTGGAGTGCCTGTGCAACAGTTCGTGGTGGCACGGCTTGAGTTCGAACCCGTCGTCCAAGTTCATCCCAATGGTGTTCGATCGGGTTCATGTCGGGAGACATAGCGGGCCAATCCATAACACGGACAGGATTCCACCCGGGTGATAAAAACAAATATGTATGTCCTTTCATGGATGTCTTCGAACAGTGGCTAGTATTATTACTTCGCACCAATTTCATGCGGGTGATTCAAACAGTATTAAAGACGTATGGCTTTATTCTTTGAACCCTTCATATAGGCGAAAATTGGTCCAAAGAATTTATATAATCTGATCTACTGTATATCCAATTTTTAAAAACATTTCTAATCAATTATGTTCCATGAAATACACGAACAGTCCAAATTGAACGACAGTCGTTTGAGCTTGCTTAGTCCATTATACACGTTTTTCGTTGTTTTTTTTAAATTAGTATTTTGTTGTTTGTGAATTAGCCAGATTACTAATTACATACGAATCGTCTTGTATAATATACTCTTCAAAAAAAAAGTAGGGGATATTGAAATGAAAATACCTATGCAGGTTGCGATATGATAAATAGTCATGGACATTTGACATGCTTTGAGAGTATGTTCACAGGTGCAGAACTTACCGCCCCAACAGGACCACTGAGCTGCACATGCGACACGCAATAGGGCCATACATGTGGAAGGGGTTCATTGTCAAATTTGACACTTCAAGGAAGGGTTGATGAAAACTGCCGCGTGCTGGTTTATCTTTCCATTTTTGCTTTCCTATCGGTTCATGCATAAGATTTATTGTTTAGCGTATCTTTGCTTTTGTGTGTCACGTTTAATTTGATCGGGAGACGTGTTCGTCGACGTCAACGTCAACCGACAACACTGCAAGAATTGGCTGTGGCACTGCAAGAGGAGTGGGTCAGATTGCCCCAAATCGTGATTGGACGGTTGATTAGGAGCATGCCAGGACGAATTGCTGAATGTCTGAGGATTGGTGGAGCAATTACTCATTATTAAGACAAAAATCAAAAACGGCCATTTTCACTTTTGACGGTGTATCTCTTTGCGAGTGAAACGGGGCCGTCAGATAAGCCGCCCATATGAAATGTTTATGTTCATGTGTAGGCAATTGGCCTGTTATTAACATACACTGGTTACCTTTAATAAAAATAGCAGTGCATTTCTGCAGTTTTGTATTGTTTCTGAATATCCCCTACTTTTTTTGAAGAGTATATATGACGTCCGAAACCATAGAATACACGACTCATATACAGATTTTAAAATGTTAGTTGTGTCTTCAATATTTGATAACAACATCAATATTGATTGAAATGGACTAAAATTGAATTCTAATTCGTGTTTGTAATTTCGAATATTATTTATTTCCTTTAAAACATTACAGTTTAATATCAATCTGATTAAAATACACATCTATATTTCGTTTCGTTTTTTTATACTTTCGATGGCCTCCACTATATGAAGATCTGACCGGTTGTAGAGGGGGGTCGCGTCAGGGGTCAAACGAGCGACTTTTGACCATATAACGTCAGACATTTGATTAACTAATCAGCGTTGATGTTTCTAGTAGGATACCGACAGTTCCGTGCATCGCACGCCAAGAACTCGCTGCAACGGACTGTTTCATTGGCTAATCCCAAACATCAACGCGGCTTATATAACAACTCTTCCAGATCCTAATGTAGTAAAGGCAAGTAAACCGAAATTTAGAACTATAAAAAACGAAACGAAATATGATCTGTGTTTTAATCAGATTGGTTGAATATTTTCCATTTTTTCGTAAACTTATCTTGTCAGTCACCATACTCCATCTGGTTGAACAAATTACTAACAAACGTGTGAAAATAATCATTTATTATTATATAATTATTACCCATGAAGAAGTTGCCATCTTGCTCTTTGTTTTTTGATATAATGAATAAGAAGCCGGGCAAATAACACTGAGACAATCTGAAAATATATAAAACAAAATTTTAGTGACTTTATGGGTTAAAAAACCATGTACTTTTCATTTCATTTTATGTAGTGTTGTTTCGTTTATTCTTTGTCACGTACAAGCTTTAGATTAATACAATTAACGGCACTTGACCTACCAACAGATCTTATGACCTAAAGCGCACATTTTAGACCATTCAACCGCGGGGATCTGAGGGGGTGTCAAAAAATTATTTTTATTAAGAACTAACTAAACAAAGGTTTTATGGTCTTCGGGACAGAGTTGTGCTTACTTGAGGAGTTATGACTGCTATAATTGTCATGGCTATAACTGTATTATGGTCAGTAAACCATCTCTCTATAGCTTTCATACAACCAGTCGTGTGGATTTTATACATCACGTCATCGATAATCTGAAATATTCCAATTTTTAAAATGGATAACATAATCTGTACAATGGAACAAAAACCCGGGTTCATTTTAAAAACATCTACAAACTATAGTGTGTCTAACTCTAGCTAAATGAATCGCAGGTTAAGTTTCCACCACAAAACTTGTTTTTTTTTTTTATTTCACCAATGTTCATTGTATTGACAAAAAAAACCCCCAACAAACAAAAAACAACTTATCAAAAATGTACAAATTTGTGTGTTTTTGGTTACTAAGGGGTCTTGCTTTGTTTATTTCAGTAATGTTTAATCGCTTAATGTGCAGTCTATTAGTATTAGATGGATATGGCGTAAAGACAATGGTAAAGTACAGTGTATATGAAAGGATTGGGGTAGAATACTCTAATCCGGGGGCCACCCCATGGGCGAAGGGCCCAATTGGGTCAAAGGCGACCGGCCGACCTTGAAGGCAGTAAACCTTTGGAGATGCTTGTCGTAACAGTCTAAAGTTAGAGCGTTCAACTGACTTGATCCACAATCTAGGCTTTCAGTTAGTAGATGTCTTGTTTTGTGCGAATATGGTTTAACCAAAACCAATTATCCCGACCAATCTTCAAACAGAACAGACAAATTATACGAACAGCCAGTTCCCACAAGAATTATGGACCAATGCAATATTAAATAGAGGCGAATCAAATATTAAATTTAAAATTTAAATTAAATTGCCGTTGTTAGCAAGTCTGTATTCTCTACATTCTAGTTATGTCACCAAAGAAAATTTGTTTTAAATTGTTAAAAGCACATGTAAACCATCGTTAGAAATGTAAAAAAAAGACGTACCTGGCTATTTAAAATACTAAAACCACACATAGTATTTATAACATCACCCTACAGATAGAACCAATTTAAGTTATATACTTGATTGTTCATAACGTGTGTTACATTTTCGTTTAATTATAATTGTTCATAACGTGTGTTACATTTTCGTTTAATTATAATATTATCATAAATAGTCACATTGCCAAAGTAAAAACCAGTAAAACAAAGATTTTATTAAAAACGCTAGAGGGCAACGTATTGGTTTATAAACTCATCTATGATATTATCATTTTTAGCGATTTTTTTCTCTTCAATAATGTAAGATTTTATCGCTAAACACAAAATCATGACAAAATCCACCTCTTATGGATTTATAAACGTCTTTACGTTGTAAAAATTAAAGCTTTTGATAGTCTTATAGTTTATATCAAACCATTGCCCCCCCCCCCTTCTCCACAAAGGCCATACTAATAACAGTGTAATTTCATGAAAAAGGGTAATATTCATAAAGTAATGGCTACCAGCTCACTTCCCATTGCTACCCTTACTTGAGTAAAGTGGCGTATCTGTACCCGGCTTGAAACGGTACATTTTACATACGCAAGTGAAATGGTAGGCATACATTTATACTCTTGACAAATAGTTGGTTTGCTGAAAAGTTATTTGAAGGGACGCATAAAAAATAAATTCTATGATTTCACATGTAGACAGAGAAACAAATAGATACGTAAATGATGGTTTTTCACTCGAGTCCCATGCATAAAGAACCGATCTAAATCGAATTCCGAGTCAAACCGCTGTAGTACTTTGGTCCTAAAGATCATATTGTACCGTTGACTAATGTATAGTCAAATTTCACGCACTAATAAAAGTAAATGACATGTGTATATGTAAAAAAAAAACAGTGATATTTTGGTAAAATTCTTATCATTGTCAAAATATCCATCAAATTCTATCTGTTTATGTCATGTGGTTGATAGACCAAATAAGGTAATGTTCTCCCCCCTCACCCCCGGTCTTGGGAGAAAGCGTTGTTTATTCCATATTTGGGATTGAAATTAACGCCAGAGTCAGTCTATGACTTCAGAAATAAGGGGGTTATAAAAAAGGGTGTTGAGTGAAATTGTTCAGAACTCACCCTAATATTCCTAGCAGCTATCATCTATGCTTTATTGAGAACGAGGAACATAGAAGCCTTGCAAGAATAAAGCTGTAGAAATAGTTTTATTTCACGATCACAAAGGAAACACAACAAGGAAGTTCGATATTACTACACCGCGGCACAGGGTCCTACGTCAACTTTAAGAGTATGTTAAACACGAAAACAGACTTTCTTTAGGAACCGGGACTATTTATGCCGGTCTGATTAAAATGAACTCTAAATTTCGATACCAGTTTGAGTGACGTATTACAGTTATAGATTAAATAGAAGTTTGATATAAAACAAGTACCGTCTTACTATGGACCAGGAACTGACTAAGTTGTTGGATGAAATTCAAAAATCTATTCACCAAATCGGTGCAGAAGTATTGTTCAAAGAAGAAGCATGCCAATTTTCATGTCGATCAGTCTTGAATTGACGGAGTCTTATGTATTTTCGAAGAGTGTCACCCCAAGAAGAACAAGAAGAACAACAACAACAAGATGAGTAGCGGTTAGCCACCAGTTCCTGGTCTAACAAGCCAACAGTGAGGCTGATGTCCCCCGCCGAAATTGCAAAATAAATAGATGACACATATTAATTAATCGCACATTTATTTTTTTCACTAAGTTTCATCACTCTCTATCAGATAGAATCAAGATTATCTTGTCCCAAACCATCGACAAATGAAATCGATTAGCTCTGCTTAGCTTCAGCTCGAAATGTTAATTATTGAACTCAGTCAAGACATTCACCTAATGAACATCTACATATACATCAAGTTTAAACATTCACCTAATAGACACCTATGCCAAGTTTGAACATCGATTTGAATGTTTTTTGGTAAAATCCAATGTGGCGGCCAAGTGGCTGAAAATGTTATGGAACAAGGTCTTTGGAAATTAAAGATAATATCTGGGACTAACACCACCATATGTCATTTTTTGTCTATTTTTAAAATGAAGAGTACTATTCATGTTCGGAAAGAATTGGAAGGCCTCGTTAATTTCAGGAAGTTTCCCGAAGCCGTCACAAAATTTTTTAATATGCCATGTTCCTTATTCCTACAAAGTTTCAACTTACCTCAAATAGTGACGGAGATACGACATCTTGAAAGTCGACAAAATGATGAAGAAAACATATATATTAACTCTAGTATATGTATCATTAAATCGCCACAGTCGGAATAAGTTAAAGCTTGTAAATGTATACTCAAAGCCATTAAAAATGCAATGCCAAATTCAAATTTTATTTACTGCAACAACTTTTAACAAATGTACATAACAATTGACAAAATCGAGATAACAAGCATCTGTGGATAATTTTATGAAAGAATTCACTACAAATGCACAAAACCGAAACGTCAGAGAACCGTGAAACAAAGCAGGGGTCAGCTCTTACACATGCCTGAAGTCGCCTTGGCATGGACTGGCACAGATGTTTCACTACACGCTGTGGGATTGTTTGCCAATGATTTTGGAGTGCCTGTGCAACAGTTCGTGGTGGCACGGCTTGAGTTCGAACCCGTCGTCCAAGTTCATCCCAATGGTGTTCGATCGGGTTCATGTCGGGAGACATAGCGGGCCAATCCATAACACGGACAGGATTCCACCCGGGTGATAAAAACAAATATGTATGTCCTTTCATGGATGTCTTCGAACAGTGGCTAGTATTATTACTTCGCACCAATTTCATGCGGGTGATTCAAACAGTATTAAAGACGTATGGCTTTATTCTTTGAACCCTTCATATAGGCGAAAATTGGTCCAAAGAATTTATATAATCTGATCTACTGTATATCCAATTTTTAAAAACATTTCTAATCAATTATGTTCCATGAAATACACGAACAGTCCAAATTGAACGACAGTCGTTTGAGCTTGCTTAGTCCATTATACACGTTTTTCGTTGTTTTTTTTAAATTAGTATTTTGTTGTTTGTGAATTAGCCAGATTACTAATTACATACGAATCGTCTTGTATAATATACTCTTCAAAAAAAAAGTAGGGGATATTGAAATGAAAATACCTATGCAGGTTGCGATATGATAAATAGTCATGGACATTTGACATGCTTTGAGAGTATGTTCACAGGTGCAGAACTTACCGCCCCAACAGGACCACTGAGCTGCACATGCGACACGCAATAGGGCCATACATGTGGAAGGGGTTCATTGTCAAATTTGACACTTCAAGGAAGGGTTGATGAAAACTGCCGCGTGCTGGTTTATCTTTCCATTTTTGCTTTCCTATCGGTTCATGCATAAGATTTATTGTTTAGCGTATCTTTGCTTTTGTGTGTCACGTTTAATTTGATCGGGAGACGTGTTCGTCGACGTCAACGTCAACCGACAACACTGCAAGAATTGGCTGTGGCACTGCAAGAGGAGTGGGTCAGATTGCCCCAAATCGTGATTGGACGGTTGATTAGGAGCATGCCAGGACGAATTGCTGAATGTCTGAGGATTGGTGGAGCAATTACTCATTATTAAGACAAAAATCAAAAACGGCCATTTTCACTTTTGACGGTGTATCTCTTTGCGAGTGAAACGGGGCCGTCAGATAAGCCGCCCATATGAAATGTTTATGTTCATGTGTAGGCAATTGGCCTGTTATTAACATACACTGGTTACCTTTAATAAAAATAGCAGTGCATTTCTGCAGTTTTGTATTGTTTCTGAATATCCCCTACTTTTTTTGAAGAGTATATATGACGTCCGAAACCATAGAATACACGACTCATATACAGATTTTAAAATGTTAGTTGTGTCTTCAATATTTGATAACAACATCAATATTGATTGAAATGGACTAAAATTGAATTCTAATTCGTGTTTGTAATTTCGAATATTATTTATTTCCTTTAAAACATTACAGTTTAATATCAATCTGATTAAAATACACATCTATATTTCGTTTCGTTTTTTTATACTTTCGATGGCCTCCACTATATGAAGATCTGACCGGTTGTAGAGGGGGGTCGCGTCAGGGGTCAAACGAGCGACTTTTGACCATATAACGTCAGACATTTGATTAACTAATCAGCGTTGATGTTTCTAGTAGGATACCGACAGTTCCGTGCATCGCACGCCAAGAACTCGCTGCAACGGACTGTTTCATTGGCTAATCCCAAACATCAACGCGGCTTATATAACAACTCTTCCAGATCCTAATGTAGTAAAGGCAAGTAAACCGAAATTTAGAACTATAAAAAACGAAACGAAATATGATCTGTGTTTTAATCAGATTGGTTGAATATTTTCCATTTTTTCGTAAACTTATCTTGTCAGTCACCATACTCCATCTGGTTGAACAAATTACTAACAAACGTGTGAAAATAATCATTTATTATTATATAATTATTACCCATGAAGAAGTTGCCATCTTGCTCTTTGTTTTTTGATATAATGAATAAGAAGCCGGGCAAATAACACTGAGACAATCTGAAAATATATAAAACAAAATTTTAGTGACTTTATGGGTTAAAAAACCATGTACTTTTCATTTCATTTTATGTAGTGTTGTTTCGTTTATTCTTTGTCACGTACAAGCTTTAGATTAATACAATTAACGGCACTTGACCTACCAACAGATCTTATGACCTAAAGCGCACATTTTAGACCATTCAACCGCGGGGATCTGAGGGGGTGTCAAAAAATTATTTTTATTAAGAACTAACTAAACAAAGGTTTTATGGTCTTCGGGACAGAGTTGTGCTTACTTGAGGAGTTATGACTGCTATAATTGTCATGGCTATAACTGTATTATGGTCAGTAAACCATCTCTCTATAGCTTTCATACAACCAGTCGTGTGGATTTTATACATCACGTCATCGATAATCTGAAATATTCCAATTTTTAAAATGGATAACATAATCTGTACAATGGAACAAAAACCCGGGTTCATTTTAAAAACATCTACAAACTATAGTGTGTCTAACTCTAGCTAAATGAATCGCAGGTTAAGTTTCCACCACAAAACTTGTTTTTTTTTTTTATTTCACCAATGTTCATTGTATTGACAAAAAAAACCCCCAACAAACAAAAAACAACTTATCAAAAATGTACAAATTTGTGTGTTTTTGGTTACTAAGGGGTCTTGCTTTGTTTATTTCAGTAATGTTTAATCGCTTAATGTGCAGTCTATTAGTATTAGATGGATATGGCGTAAAGACAATGGTAAAGTACAGTGTATATGAAAGGATTGGGGTAGAATACTCTAATCCGGGGGCCACCCCATGGGCGAAGGGCCCAATTGGGTCAAAGGCGACCGGCCGACCTTGAAGGCAGTAAACCTTTGGAGATGCTTGTCGTAACAGTCTAAAGTTAGAGCGTTCAACTGACTTGATCCACAATCTAGGCTTTCAGTTAGTAGATGTCTTGTTTTGTGCGAATATGGTTTAACCAAAACCAATTATCCCGACCAATCTTCAAACAGAACAGACAAATTATACGAACAGCCAGTTCCCACAAGAATTATGGACCAATGCAATATTAAATAGAGGCGAATCAAATATTAAATTTAAAATTTAAATTAAATTGCCGTTGTTAGCAAGTCTGTATTCTCTACATTCTAGTTATGTCACCAAAGAAAATTTGTTTTAAATTGTTAAAAGCACATGTAAACCATCGTTAGAAATGTAAAAAAAAGACGTACCTGGCTATTTAAAATACTAAAACCACACATAGTATTTATAACATCACCCTACAGATAGAACCAATTTAAGTTATATACTTGATTGTTCATAACGTGTGTTACATTTTCGTTTAATTATAATTGTTCATAACGTGTGTTACATTTTCGTTTAATTATAATATTATCATAAATAGTCACATTGCCAAAGTAAAAACCAGTAAAACAAAGATTTTATTAAAAACGCTAGAGGGCAACGTATTGGTTTATAAACTCATCTATGATATTATCATTTTTAGCGATTTTTTTCTCTTCAATAATGTAAGATTTTATCGCTAAACACAAAATCATGACAAAATCCACCTCTTATGGATTTATAAACGTCTTTACGTTGTAAAAATTAAAGCTTTTGATAGTCTTATAGTTTATATCAAACCATTGCCCCCCCCCCCCTTCTCCACAAAGGCCATACTAATAACAGTGTAATTTCATGAAAAAGGGTAATATTCATAAAGTAATGGCTACCAGCTCACTTCCCATTGCTACCCTTACTTGAGTAAAGTGGCGTATCTGTACCCGGCTTGAAACGGTACATTTTACATACGCAAGTGAAATGGTAGGCATACATTTATACTCTTGACAAATAGTTGGTTTGCTGAAAAGTTATTTGAAGGGACGCATAAAAAATAAATTCTATGATTTCACATGTAGACAGAGAAACAAATAGATACGTAAATGATGGTTTTTCACTCGAGTCCCATGCATAAAGAACCGATCTAAATCGAATTCCGAGTCAAACCGCTGTAGTACTTTGGTCCTAAAGATCATATTGTACCGTTGACTAATGTATAGTCAAATTTCACGCACTAATAAAAGTAAATGACATGTGTATATGTAAAAAAAAAACAGTGATATTTTGGTAAAATTCTTATCATTGTCAAAATATCCATCAAATTCTATCTGTTTATGTCATGTGGTTGATAGACCAAATAAGGTAATGTTCTCCCCCCTCACCCCCGGTCTTGGGAGAAAGCGTTGTTTATTCCATATTTGGGATTGAAATTAACGCCAGAGTCAGTCTATGACTTCAGAAATAAGGGGGTTATAAAAAAGGGTGTTGAGTGAAATTGTTCAGAACTCACCCTAATATTCCTAGCAGCTATCATCTATGCTTTATTGAGAACGAGGAACATAGAAGCCTTGCAAGAATAAAGCTGTAGAAATAGTTTTATTTCACGATCACAAAGGAAACACAACAAGGAAGTTCGATATTACTACACCGCGGCACAGGGTCCTACGTCAACTTTAAGAGTATGTTAAACACGAAAACAGACTTTCTTTAGGAACCGGGACTATTTATGCCGGTCTGATTAAAATGAACTCTAAATTTCGATACCAGTTTGAGTGACGTATTACAGTTATAGATTAAATAGAAGTTTGATATAAAACAAGTACCGTCTTACTATGGACCAGGAACTGACTAAGTTGTTGGATGAAATTCAAAAATCTATTCACCAAATCGGTGCAGAAGTATTGTTCAAAGAAGAAGCATGCCAATTTTCATGTCGATCAGTCTTGAATTGACGGAGTCTTATGTATTTTCGAAGAGTGTCACCCCAAGAAGAACAAGAAGAACAACAACAACAAGATGAGTAGCGGTTAGCCACCAGTTCCTGGTCTAACAAGCCAACAGTGAGGCTGATGTCCCCCGCCGAAATTGCAAAATAAATAGATGACACATATTAATTAATCGCACATTTATTTTTTTCACTAAGTTTCATCACTCTCTATCAGATAGAATCAAGATTATCTTGTCCCAAACCATCGACAAATGAAATCGATTAGCTCTGCTTAGCTTCAGCTCGAAATGTTAATTATTGAACTCAGTCAAGACATTCACCTAATGAACATCTACATATACATCAAGTTTAAACATTCACCTAATAGACACCTATGCCAAGTTTGAACATTCTACCTCAATTAGAAGGAGAGTTATTGTGTTCCAAAGTTTCTACCAATCAAATTGCTTATCACTCTGCTTACCCTCAGCAAAAAATGTTCATTATCGAACTTAGTTAAGGTATTCATATAATAAATCTATACACCAAGTTTCATCAATCTCACTTAATTAGAACTAAAGTTATCGTGTCCCAAAGCATCAACCAATCAAATTGCTTATCTCTGCTTACCCTAAGCGGAAAATGCTCATCTTCGAACTCCATCAAGGCATTGACCTAATCAACACATACACCAAGTTTGAACATTCTAGCTCAATTAGGAAGAGAGTTATCGTGCCCCAAAGTATCAACCAATCAAATTGCTTATCTCTGCTTACCCTAAGCGGAAAATGCTCATCTTCGAACTCCATCAAGGCATTGACCTAATCAACACATACACCAAGTTTGAACATTCTAGCTCAATTAGGAAGAGAGTTATCGTGCCCCAAAGTATCAACCAATCAAATTGCTTATCTCTGCTTACCCTAAGCGGAAAATGCTCATCTTCGAACTCCATCAAGGCATTGACCTAATCAACACATACACCAAGTTTGAACATTCTAGCCCAATTAAGAAGAGAGTTATCGTGTCCCAAAGCATCAACCAATCAAATTGCTTATCTCTGCTTACCCTAAGCGGAAAATGCTCATCTTCGAACTCCATCAAGGCATTGACCTAATAAACACATACACCAAGTTTGAACATTCTAGCTCAATTAGGAAGAGAGTTATTGTGTCCCAAAAAGTGTAACGGACAGACAGACGGACGGACGGACGGACGGCCGGACAGACGGACGAACCCATTTTAATAGTCCCCTGCTTTCTTCGAAAGGCGGGGGACAACAACAGTGGTTGTTGTAAATTGTTTCAATGGCATCTAGTAATTGAACTGGGGTCGCTCAGTAATAAGCGGTAATTGCATTCCATAGAATTGTGACCAGTATAGTGGTTGTTGTATCGACTATTTTGATCAGTCGGCCCGCGAACCCAGTAGACAAATGAAAACAATCGCCCATAATTGCTATATTCAGAGGCAAATCGGCTGATGAAAAGGGGTATTCTAAAGGTATAAGAGGTTTGAACTGGACCTTTTTAGTAGGCTCAGCTTCTAAAATTCAAGACAAAACTATTACTGAAGAACGTCGTCCAGCAGACAGGATAAGCCGGTGCTCACTATTTCTGGCGCAATTTCTCTTTAAGTTATATCTTTGTTAATTTTCGAGTTGATTGGACAAGTTCTACGGAAACTTCTCAAGGATGTTGTTGAACATCTTAATTAGGCAGATAAGTTCCTACAGCTAACCAAGTTTTTTTACTTTAAGTTGACAGCCAAGCAGATTAATAACAGAATCAGACCAGCCATCAAGATATAATTTTAATTAGGTTGGGTTGGTAGTGAAGAAGAAGTAGTGACTGGCTTGAATATCAAAATAAACTTACTTTTTCTAAAATACAACATGACATAGGAACAGCACATTTAAAGGGACTGGGATTAGTTCGTGTACAGTTATGATACATATTTATCTGCCAACCTTTATAACCTTCACTATCATGACTATAACCACAACATTTTAACTGAAAACAGAATTAAAATGGTAAACATAAACAATCATTGAGTTAATTCGGTTGAAAAATAAAATGTCGTTAAACATTATAAGGCCAGCTTTCGACGTAAGCGTTTATTGCGCGCGTTTTCCGCGGCGAAAAATGTACGCGTTTCCGCCTTTTCGCAGTGTTTTTCTCGCGTCTACATGTGCATGTCTGTCCAACTAGATGTTTACTAGTTCAGTCAACCGCTCTTGTTGCTGCTGCTACTGCTGCATGTTCAGTTTTTGGACATGGTTTAACATTAAAATGTTATTTTTTTAAAAAAAAGGCGGCGATTGAACGAATGCAATGTCGGCCTTATTTACGTGGGATTCCCCAAACTTTCGGTGATTCTTTTCAGTGCACATGGAAATACAAAATATCGCGCGCGGAAACGCCCGCATTTTTCCGCAGGCGAAAACGCTTACACGGGGACGTTAAACCCCATTTCTCTCTCTAGCTAGCCATTAGATTAGCATACATGAAATGCTCTTACGTCACTCGAGCAGAAAGACTGCTTCCAATCATGTTTGTCCCGTGGGCGCCACGTGGGTATTTTTCAGGGAATCTAGTCATTACGGTTGAGTGTCTCCACTATACCAAATACCTTTATTGAAAATAAATACCCGATAAACACTTTCGTGGGAATGAATCTATAACAACAAACTAAACAGAGTCGACATATTTATCAAAGTTCACAATCATACATAATGACAATTTTGAACAAAGATCGCTCTAAATACAATATGTTACAATGTAAGCCTACTGATTTATTTTTTAGTCGCAACAAGGGTGATATTGTTATAAGTGGCATTTTAGAAATATGCCACACAAACTTTAATATGAACATCGTTTCAATAGTGATTCTCGCGTCGTAAAATGAAATTAACTTCCTACTTTTCTGCACCAACCGGGCTAATGAAAACGGGTATCAATTGTATGACATCATATTCCTTCCTTTGTATAGCGAACTTTTGTTTATTACTTGTGTTTTCTATATCCTAAAAATATGAAAAAAAATGGGCTCGATGATCCTCTCAAAATATATGACCAGGCGACAATGTGTGAAAAATACTGAAATGGGCCAAACGGAGAAATAGTCATTTCATACACCGTAATTAGTAAACGGGGGGCAATACTAATTTAGCAGTACTTATTATATTACTGATAAGACAAAATAATTACTGTAATTACTAGATTTGTTTAAGGCCCATAATAGTGGCGTAAATTCAATAGAAACCAACATAATGAACAATTGCTTGAATTGATCGACTTTTTGGACCACAGTTTGGATTGTTTTTAGGAGCTTAAAGTTGCTGAGTCTCTAACTCAATATCATCCAAGTCTTCCACGTTGAAAACGCGAATTAGTTGTCAATTTAAATCAACGTTGTGATCTTACCGGGAAAAGATGGGCTTCTGATATGCAATATTTAAAACAAAATAAACATTTTACCTTTGGTACACGGCGTTTCAGCGCCATTTATAACAAGGGACTCTACAAGTCACGTCAAACGGTGACGCCATATTCTTATCTGGAGAGCATGCGCAATAGAGTGGAATAACCAGAGGCTAGAGATTGCCATTCCACTGAGACTTCTGGCGTATTTCGCTGGACATAACTGATTTGAAATAAGAGTAAAAACGGAACCGATTGAATGTAAATCAGTTTATATACATTCAGATTACATTATTATTATGCGTTGCGACCCATTTGTGTCGATTTCTAAGTCCCCAATTTTAGCGATTCCGATTCAGCTCCTTTAAACTGAATATTTAATCTTTATTCTGCAATGGGACTTTAATTAAGAAATATGAGAAAAGTAATGTCTTAAGCCTACCTCTGTCTGAATTAAATCTACCCAGTCTTTTAGATGTTGGTCATCGTGATATCGTTTAACTGCACCTTTAAGTACATTCTCGGGTACAGCCTGAATATATTTTCTTAAAGAAGTGGTTTGATAAAAGAAGACAAGTACAACAGCTAGAACTATTTCAATAAATAACACAACAGTCATGCTATAGTGAAACTGAAAATAAAAACGTTTACCACTTAAATTATTTGTACAATGGATAAATTTATACTAAGGCACGACAAGATTACTCCCGAGCACTCCATACCACTTCCCATTTGAAGAGTTCAAAGAAATATCAAAATTGTTTGTACTTATGTATTGGTTTTTAGTAAGAGAATAAGACAAGTTACATTAAAGTGACACAGTATGGGAGATTTTCGTGATAGTAACATAAATAGTAAAATTAGTCCTGTAATGTACGTTTTGTGTACAAGTAACACTCAGACAAATCGTGTGCGACCCCCCTACCCCTCCCCCTAAAAAATGGAACGAAATTCGCTTAACTTTATATTATATTACTCGGTAACCACTCCATACCTCGACATACTGTTCGTCATTGTAAAATGAATATCATTCCAAAATTGGTCCAATTTAGAATTAACAAAAGGTTGCATTTTGAACCCGATATTGCTTAGATTAAAAGATCCTTATCAAATTTGGTCAACATCCAAATTTTCCCTTCCGATAAGCTGCTGACTTTGGCTATTTTTATTTCTATTCAAAGCTTCTGCGTGGGCGTATTTCCACACTTTTCGTGGTTATCTTTAAATTAGAATTTTTTGAAAAGGTGTATAAAAAAGTTGTATCTTATATTCTAGACTTAAATAAATCAACATATTATGTAATGCTTATCAATTTCTTGCAATCTAATAGAGTACGACAAAGAGTTGTATCACCGTATGGACCATAAAACTTCCCTTTCTGGTTTACAAACTGTATTTAAATATTAGAAGGGAATAATCAAACATAGGACATAATATATGTACAATAGTATATGATCGATAAACTTTGAAATACACATATTATAGCTGGACCTAGGATGCATCCGTTTCTGACTGTAAAATATAAATTTTATACTTTTCAATTAAACGATAATTTAGATTCTATCAAGTAATGCGGAAGTTTGTAACACGTTTTAGAACCCTTCCTTTCCTCGCGATTTAACAATAAATTGTTTATTGGAATTTTCGATAGAACGAAAATAGTGTCTTTTCTCTCAATACACCAATTATTAATTTATATGACGTTTTTTTTTTAAGTTTCCACGAGAACAAACAACTGAAATCTCTATGAAACAGACACATTTTCTTTTGTAGCTGTAAAATTCCTTTCAGCGTAATACGGTATACCAATTAGAGACTTTTTTTCCCATTAGTGATTCGTTGCGTCAATGTAGTTTTAGAGTTTTGGCAGATTTTCACACCGCGTACGTGTAGCTGAGCTGAGCTTAGTTCTATTTGAGCATGGTGGCAGTTATCTACCAAGATCACCATCAGTAGTAGCCAAGTGCCTAGCCTACAAATTCCTGCAGGGAGTAAAGTCGTTCGACAGTCGCTCGACAGTCACTGAGCTATTAAAAAAAAATTAATGTCGAACCTTATTAACAATCTCTGACTTTGACTCCACAGCAATCTTTGGTTTCACTAATGTATCATTTCAGAAAGTTTATACCCCTTTACCATAGAATAACATCAATTACAGATTTGCATGGTCCCACCTCCCTAAATTTATCACGTAGATCAACCAGCATGTCAGATAGGCAGGAAAAATATGAAAATTCCGCGAAAAACTCATCAAAAATAATTATTAAATTCCAGTCTTTATCATGGTTAAGATTACATCAAATATATACTCCTTCATTTTCTAGGATTCACGAAGAATCATAAAAGCGCTACGGCACAACTTTTCAGTGTGTAAATGTATTATAGCAAAAAAGACGGTAAAAGGACGACGATGTTATACGGACCTTTTCCATATGAAAGCTGTTCGATACGTGCTGCCGTATCCGTATCATGGAAGAGAAATACACACGCATTGATGACGTCACGCGCAAAAGCGATACGGACACGCGTTACGGACCAGTAAATTACGCTTGCCAAAAGTCTCTATTATTAATTTATATTATATAACGTATTATATATATATATATATATATCCCGTGTTATATGAGATAATTATTCTACTGAACTGTTTAAAAGGGATACGGGTAAATTTATGTTATCGTGGGTAACTTACCTTATTTGAAAGCAAAGTTATGCATCAACAATATAATACATGTTCATATGAATGTATGACGTTTACGTCATACTTTTCTGCACCCGGATAATGCAATCTTTTATGTGGGAAAATTTACCCGCTAAATTCCGCTAAAGGGGGTGGGGGGACACATTCAAAATGGGGGGTCATTTTGGCTAGAAAATCAGAAGTCCTCTATATAGGTGTATGTTTTCGATGACCCCTACTTCAGATATTAACATATGAACTCGGCGACACCGAAAATCTACTGTTTGACGTATTATACCGTCACAATACTAACATCGAAATGTCCCGCCAAATGTGATCGCCATTTTGAACATTGCCGTCATATTGGAATACCTTTTGGTTGGAACAATTTTGTATGTTTATATCTGAAGTGAGGGATACCTATGTCGAGGTCCGAGAGAATTTGTAACGAATTTTATCCAACTAAATAACCAGAAAATGCCCCACGGCGGCCATCTTGAATATTTAAATTTCTCCAAGGGCGCTAGGGTGGCTTCATCCGGATACTGAATCAACACATATTAACGATATATAATCCACCAAAAACATTAGGTGGACTATATTTCCACGTCAAGGCTTAAACTGGGTGTTGGCTGTCGGACTATTTTCAGCCCCCCGCCCTGCATCACTGACAAGAAGTACCAATGCCGGGATCGAAAACGGAATCTCCGCGCTAGTGAATGTAATCAGTCTTTTAAGAGTTTTGCCATGACCATAAAATAATAAATTGTTGAATTTTAATAATTTTAATAATGGGTTCTACACAGCGAGCAGTAGCCAACATGCTGAATGTGTCACAGTCTGTGATCAGCAGACTGTGGAACCGATACCAACAAACACACAATGTTGATGATAGACCTTGTTCAGGTCGTCCTAGAGCCAATACAGAAGCCCAGGATCGATACATTCGTACACAGGTCCTGCGAAATCGAGGACAAACGGCCAATCAGCTTTCTGTAAACTTCTACCAAGTTAAAGGAATTCGAGTTACACCCCAAACGATTAGAAACCGGCTACATGCAGGTCATTTGCATGCGCGACGACCGCGTGTTGTGCCTCCATTAACTCGCCAGCATATGGCAAACAGGCATCAATGGTGTAGGCAGCGTAGAAATTGGGGTAATCGTCGATGGGCGCGTGTAATGTTCTCAGATGAGCCCAGATTTACTCTGTATTTCATCGATAGGCGTGCTCGCGTTTGGAGGCGTGTAAATGACCGCCGTGCTAACGTTAACGTCAGACAGCATGATAGATTCGGGCGTGGGTCTGTTATGGTGTGGGGAGGAATCACCATGACTGACAGAACGGACTTGCATATTGTTCAAGGAAGGGTCACTGGTGTGTACTACCGACACCACATCCTGGCACCGATAGTTCTGCCCTTGGCTCAACGTGCAGGTCGGCGTTTCATCTTTCAAGATGATAATGCCCGTGCCCACCGCGCTCGTGTCGTGAATGACTACCTCCAGCGTCACCATATTGTCCATATGCCTGGACCAGCCATGAGTCCTGACCTTTCCCCTATAGAGTATGTCTGGGACATGATCGGGAGACGTGTTCGTCGAGGTCAACATCAACCAACAACACTGCAAGAATTGGCCGTGGCATTGCAAGATGAGTGGGTCAGATTGCCCCAAATCGTGATTGGACGGTTGATTAGGAGCATGCCACGACGAATTGCTGAATGTCTAAGGATTGGTCGAGCAATTACTCATTATTAAGACAAAAATAAAAAACGTCCATTTTCACTTTTGACAGTGTATCTCTTTGCGAGTGAAATGAGGCCGTCAGATAAGCCGCCCATATGAACTGGAGCAATTACTCATTATTAAGACCAAAATCAAAAACGTCCATTTTCACTTTTGACGGTGTATCTCTTTGCGAGTGAAATGGGGCCGTCAGATAAGCCGCCCATTCTGTTTATGTTCATGTGTGGGCAATTGGCCTGTTATTAACATACACTGGCTACCTCTAATAAAAACAGCAGTGCATTTCCGCAGTTTTGTATTGTTTCTGATAATGACAAATGAATATATTTAAAATTCCAGTCAAATTACTTTATTCAGAGTGAAGTTTTGACAAGAAATACTCGAATGTCAAGTACCATTGCCATTATAATAAACGAAGTCTCGATTGTCACTATTTTTCTTGAGTGAAGTCCATTTTAACGTTCACCGATTATATAGTGCAGGTGTTCTAAAACATTCAATATTCAAGCCACTCGGTGGACTTGATGATTGATTGTGACATTTAGTCTAAATAATAATTCATATAACGTTTGAAGCCATATACTTACTAATTTTAGAAGGAAAGTGTTCTCTCGAATAGACCCAACACAGCCTATAAATGTTATCAGCACCATGACGATTCCAAAAACACACACCAAAACAGCCGGATCCAAAAATAAGTCAGAGACATCACTCACTAATTTGTTTCTTTCGTACAATACCCACGATGCAAATGCCGTGATAGCTATACCTGCAATCTTCAAAACAACAGCCCTCTTTTAAAACACACAAAAACCTTTCGATTTGCTTACTGTTAATATCATATACCACAGTCAATAAAGTTAGCTATATATTTACACTACCTTACCTTATAAGTAAGACCATGTGTTGTCACATTGTTCTTATATGAACTACATATTATTATCAATAACTAGATACACAGATCTAGGATCATATAGAAACAATCCTCAGGTTGAGTTGATAGTAGTAAATCAGATATAATTAAATACACGCAGTTTTTAACCAAGTCGTATACATGTATAATTACATTTCAAATGCGTTCCAAGACATCATGAAATGTATACAAAGCTTGCCCTGCAATGAACTACATAAAATGTATAGCTAAATTATTGATTCATACCCGACATATAAATTGTATATAGATCCGACTGTACTCAAAAAATGACGAATCACGATTTGCATAAAAAAAGACAACATTATAATATTAGGAAGTGAGTTTAAGGTTGATTTGAACAAAACATTCCACTCTTATATATTTTTTTCGTGCATGATTCCACTCTTATATAATTATTTCGTTATAACGAAATAACTAATTCGATTGAACGAAATAACTAATTTGTTTTAACGAAATATTAATTTGTTTTAACGAAATATTAATTTGTTTTAACGAAATATTAATTCGTTAATACGAAATATTATTTTATTAAAGATACATTATGGGAGATTATAATAGAGAGTTGTGGCCATTCTTGCTATAACAGTTCAAAAATAGATGATAAAAGAAGAATATATTGAAAATTTCAGTCAAATTACTTTATTCTGAACAAAGTTATCACCATTGTAATTTTTGACTAGAAATAGGAGTCAACTCTATCTTCACCGTCCCGAGATTGGCCGATCGTTTGATTGACAGGCGTTAACTCCACCTACATAATCTCGATTATCAAGTAACGTTTTCAATGGCTGTGGTACCGTTAACCTATTCGGTTTGAGACGGGGCTGCAATTCAGTTCGTATCACATTTATTTTTACTACAAATTAAAAATAAGACTTTTAATATATAGATATGAAGCGAAAGTTTGAAAGGAATGGACCAAATCAATGAGGCAGCATTGTACATAATTATAGCCGACTTCTTGTTAGCCTGCGTGTCACTCTAGCACTGTAACTGATAGGCCTACGTGACTCCCGAAGCAGACAAATAGGAAACTGTGATCCAATGGGAATGCAATTCAACTGGGGTGATGTTACCTGCGATGTTTATCAATTTCCATAAGTTTTCTGAAAACGCAAGTGACAAAAGAGCGTATAATACTGACATCCAAACTCTCATTTTGACCACAACTAAACATAATATCAAGGCCGTATATCGAACTTTCAATCAAATTGACTGACACGCGGCCTCGCTCAACAGCGGCCTCGCTTCGTACGCTCTATCATTTAGCCTCGATCATCACTGCCTTTTATGGAAAATTTCCGGGAGTATGACGTCAACGTAACGGTTAATCTCCGCTTACGATGCCATTTAAAAATTTAATCAATCAATGAAATCCTGTTTAAATCCAAGCCGAATCTAAACCATCCGTGGGTCTACAGAGTTGATTTTGGGCTTGTTGTGTAAATAAAGATCTAATTTATAATTTCTATGACATCTGAAGTCTAAATGAAGACTTAAAATATGCTGATTTAGCTCTTGCATAATGCATGTTTAATACGAATTAATTATTTCGTTTAAACGAATTAATTATTTCGTTTAAACGAATTAATTATTTCGTTTAAACGAATTAATTATTTCGTTTAAACGAATTAATTATTTCGTTTAAACGAATTAATTATTTCGTTTAAACGAATTAATTATTTCGTTTAAACGAATTAATTATTTCGTTTAAACAAATTAATTATTTACGGTTTAACATGTCGACTTATTTCCCAAATGCTCCTAACACCGGATTTGAAAAAAAGAATATGTTAAAAAAAACAATCGTGGTCTCTATCGTTATCGATATGCGGTCGGGCTCGAGGCGGTAACCCTGGAACTGCGACACAAACTAGATTATTTCGGGATTACGGTTCAATTTTATTTCAATAATTCGCTTGCGCGTAGGGATATTTAGCAGTGGGAGGAAACAGGTGGACCCGGAGAAAACCCATGAAGTTGGACAGGCGACCCTGAAACAACGCCCTTTGACTCAATGACAGACCTCGTGTTCACAACTTTTTCGTAATGGGGATCGTGTGATGGGTGGGGACTCTATGAAGCATTGGAGTTTGATCGTCTGATAAATGATTATACCGGGTCAGTTACTAAAAAAAACATCTTTGTGTCATGACATGTGATTCAATTTGAATCTTAATTTCCTTATGTTTTATAATCTTACCCAAAATAGATAATTCATGAAGAATAAAGCATATTTAAGAGAGAAGGATGCTAGACGGTGTCTTTGCAGATACATTCTAGTTCCAGAAGTCGAATAGTCTTCATCATCAACGTCACTTCCCTTATTTTCACTGCCATCATTATCACTGTCGTCATCACATCTGTCTTTGTTTGGTTTGTTGGTAACCCCATCATCGCGATCAGCTGCTGAAAAACTCGTTTCACCATCTTTTAAATCCTCTTCATTTATTTCAGAGGAAAGTTCTGCGTAGTGATATTCCTCAAGAGAAGCAATAGGGGCTCTCGCTGGAAAAAAAACACACATAAAATTTTAATAGTACGTAGTAAGAATTTCGACTTGATTGTTGCTATTAATTCCATGCCAGGTAGAGAAAATAACGATAAGTACTGTATATGAAGCATACAGAAGTTTTTATACGAACAAGCTTTTATGTGTCCTTAATAAAAAAAACCCCATTAAAATTATATATAAATATAACTTTTGACGCCAGTCATTGATTATCACCATAAACATAAATAGTTATTAGTAAGAGAACCAAAATGTTTTGTGACATTATATCGTTAGTATTTTGTGAATAAAATTTAAGGAATTAATAAATTGTAAAATCTTTTGACTTGTTTTTATTTTTTGACATTTATATATTTTGCTTTAATCGCAATTTGCTTGTTTACAAGTCACATTTGACACAAACGTCGGCCTCAGTGAATATTTTTGCAACTTTTAAAAAATATTACAGACTTCACATCTAATTTGGACCATGGAATCTGCTGTGTTTTGGTGTTCATTGTTTTGTTACACTCTGTGGAAAACCTTATTGTGTTCTATAACAGTCTACGATGTGAAGATATAACATTGGGCATTAAAAGTAAAACACATTTTACAGGTCTTATGTGTTCTAAATCAAAGAGGGTATTTAAAACATTCTAAAAGGGCGTTTTTAGTGGATTTAATTGTAATTGTTGATGTAATTGTTGAAATGTTTTACTTGTAACCATCAACTTTCAGTAAATCATCGAACAAAATATTAATTCTAACAAAAATTATCAGAAATAAACAAGCGTTTCCTTCGTGTAAAATCTGTCATTCTATTTACGTATCTGTCGGAGATGTGGATAAAATAATTATGTTATTTTACAAACATCCAATTTCTTAAGAAATAATGAATTCTTACCTGCGTATCTAGCCATTTTCATAGAAAATTCATGTCCACATTACCATGTCTAATATTAGAGTACGCTATTGTTTATGGGACCTGCATGTTTACCAGACACTTCACAAGACAGGTTCTAAAATTGCCCATAAAATCCTTGGACGTAGCACTAGAATATTCGATAACCGTTAACAACGAAATCAGCCCTTTACTATGTGGCAACAATAGTGTCTCCGTTTCTGCCCGGTTTCTCATTTCTATTATAAATTTTTAATTGATTTATCATCTAGTAATAATGGGGTACAGCAAACATGACAGTATGTTTTGTAATTATCATACCATAATCTGTCGTATTTTACCCAAAAACAAACCTGTAAATAGCCATTTTATTTCTTTCCTAGCGATACGTTCGCTAAAACTGGAATTTCATTTCAAGAACTAACCCCATTTCCTTATTATCAACATGACGTAAAGGACTTGCTCCCGAAAACGACGAGTTACGGTCGCATGACTTTTCTATGTCATTTTTTTTACACCGTGAACATTCCCAGGAGTCCACCCCCCATTAGCGCATTTTGTTTGCAGCCCAAATTGCACTTGGGTCTTAATATTTTTGTTTTTACCAGACACGCCCACTAAAACTGACTTAATCGATCAATATAATGTTGCATTGTGCCACCCCACCCCCAATACCCCCATTTACTATCAATATAGTTAATTTTAAGATAAGGCCATTTAGCAATCCCAACAAGTGCTATAGAAGCAACCCTACAGCGGTGACTAAAATTTGATGCCGGGGGCAATAACTCCGAGAATAAACGATGCCTAGGTTTCAACCATAGGTCTCATACGTATGACTAGTTGAACAATATCAGTTTTAAAACAAAATGGTATTTCGTAGCATACTAGAAAAAGTATGAAACCTGATAAAGAAAACATATCTGTGAATTAAACCTCAATTTAATGAGAAACATCTGTATGAATCAATAAAGTCGTAAGCGCAAATGGTGTATGGCTATGTTCGATTTCCGAAATGGAAGGGCACGGTGGGCACATTGGGTTTTTCTGGTACAAGTAAATACACAACAGACAACACTATTCCACCCTGAAGCACCACCAATCCATATGTGTAGGAACATATAATAATAATAAATAAATAGTGCACTTTTAACGCGCTAAACTCCATACACTAAGTATATGCTCATAGCGCTACAAAAATTCTGATGACATGTTGGTTTATGTGCTATAACAGTTTTATGTCTCATAGTATTCTTTAAACAGGTGTGTTTTTAATAAACTCTTGAATTGCAATAATGTTTGTGCATCTTTAACTTCTGATGGTAGTTTATTCCAAAATGTTGCTGAGTTATACTGGAAAGACCGCTGTCCAAATAATCTTAATTTGACTTTTGGGACACAAACTAAGTTTTGGTTAGCCGATCGTAGTATCCAGCGGTCGCTAGCCTGCAAATTTTGTTTAGAACTATACGGTATTTTTGCCCCCTCTAGCTGTATTTTGTCGTTAGTTAAAGACTTAATCGATCGATCGAAGTGAGATGAAAACTGTATTAAAAATATTATATTAGAGAGTGATAATAATCATCACCATTATAAACTACATCTAAACCATATTGATTATGATCACGTTTGGTACTATAACAACAACCCATATCATATTACTGAACAAATTATCTTACTATCTTTCATCCCTCCTCAAATCAGATCACAAATCAACACCAATACAATTCTCTCATTTTATAAAATGGAAAATGTGATATTGACTTCCAATAATCAAATATTATTTAGCATATTATTTGCATTTCATGGTAGGTGGTACTAACCAGGTGTTATAGAAAAGTAACTATAAACGAGATAAAAATGAAATATTTACTAAAATATGCCCATTGAAGGGCAAATGGCCGATTTCCAGCAAAGTGTACATGGCCTAGGGGATCAAAAGTAAAAAAAAAAAAATGGGATCCACGAGGGTACTTTATCTCATTAATGTAATAAAATTAACAGTGCCGATAAGTTGTGCAAGTGCATTTTGTATACTTCATACACCATACATTAGCAACCAACAACACACACTATGAGCGTGGCAATTTTAAAGGTGTTTGTTCATGCAACCGAACCGCCAGCACGTCGAAGATTTAATTCTTAAGACAACTAGAGTTTTAAAGAGACAGCAACTCAACAAATAAAGACAGAGACAGTCCAAATCTCTCAAATGTATATATAATGGTACACGCACAAATATGACCACATGTATTCTATTGACTTCATCAAATGCAAAATAATTCAAAGAACACTAAAACAATACAAAGTAATTCGATGAAAGTGACATCTCATACACCTTCATCTAAAATCAATGTGGTTGCCATGCAGGCTGTTTTGACTAGAATCGGAGTGGAACCGTCAACTGAACAATTTGTGATATCACCTAGACAACATATCCACGTCTTTAGAGCCTATCGAGAACTACGATATCGATGCATGCAATTTTATTTACACAACCCATTTGAACCAACTCACATTCTGTTCACATATCAATTTTAACTGACTGTTAGGTATATTCCAACAATATTCCATTGGTTAGATGTAACCTAGATTATTTACTTACACGATACCTATACACTAGATTTCAGAATTTGTTCGTTAATTATTCATGATAACTCAACCCGACTCATTTTCACAGTGGTGTAAAATATACTAGACAATTATCAAAAATAATTAAAATTGGATTGGCGTCTAGTTCTTCATAGCTCTAACGACATGTACCTGTCAGTAATCAATAGTCATGTTCGTCACATGAACATAAACACTGCGTATAAATTTCAGTTTAATCTAATAATAACTTTAGCTACATGATTTGTAAAAGTTGTCAAGGGCCATAATTCAGAGAGTAATTAGCAAGAGGCTTCTTCGTCACATGAATATAAAACACTGCGCCAATACAGGAGCCTGTCTGTTTAGTTATTATTATAGACACTTACGTCAAGTAACTTTACAATAGCGCCTGTGCAGTATTCATTTATACGAGCGCCATGTTTTGATTGATCGTAACAGCATGTTTTGAACAAGCCTGTTTTCCCTGTTACACATATTCCCTCACTTACTGACGTAGTGGCATCGGCTGCGATTGTTTGCAAACCGACGAGCGCTTCACAATCTTGAAGTAAACCAAATAAAGCCAGTTTGGGGTACAAACACGTAGACAGTGGACTATGCGTGCGCCGTTTTGATAACACAGACCTTCATGTAGGCCTACACACTTTAACTATCTAATTTTGTCTAATACAAAACACAAAATCATATTTTACCGATAGCCCAGACGAGAGCAAGACGACAGTGTTTTATTAACAAAAATATATAAAAGGATACGTTAATATAATATACAAATCATGTGACAACAATGAAGAATATCAAGAATAGACACAAAAGTTATTCCTGTACAATTTACTATCCAAAACGCGATTTACAATGATGCAATACATATTGACCTAAAAGTCGATTTAAAAGAATAACAAACGTGTTATACTTTTATCCATCAACGACGATCCTTGTCGCCCGGGAAAACCTCAGATAAAAAGATCTTTGATCAAAAAAGCTATGGAACCTGGGCTCGAATCCAATGCAATAATAGTCTCCGGAGATATACTCGAACGGCATAGAAAAACTTTGATATAAACAATATAAACAATAATTGTGGTCAGTTGTTTTTGATAACTCGAGGTGGGCTAGAATAATGAATTACTTTCTAACTCTCGGCTTTATCACGTGACGCAGATCACGTGCCGGTGATTTATACTCATAACGTTAATACAATAATTTCCCTCTATACTTCGAAACGAGGGAAATTTTAAGTACACACTTTACTAATACAAAACACAAAATAATCATATTTTGCCGATAGTCGAGACGAGAGCAGGACTATGGTCTAGAAGATTAAAAGAAAGGGTCGAGCCCTGATGAATGTTTTGCGAAATTAATAATAATAGAACTGTTAATTATAGGCTAATAATAAATAATTATAATTTACTATAAATTAATCTGTACAAATCCAGAGCCCTAAACTCTGAGATACCAGTAATCTATTTTCTATGCTGTCTGATACATATCCGTCCTTACTTATATCGGGTTTCTATCTCCCATGCCTCCTAATTAATACATTTTTAGTTTACGCGTGCACGAGCGGCCTGTTTGCACCTCCAGACCGCTGAGAGTGCAAGCCTAAATTTAAACTTCCATTTACAGATATTAACAAAGTCATTATATTTTGTCTTGTGGCAGTTACCCATAGAAGCCCGGATAACCTTTAAGATTCTAACATTGGTTTATAATATGTGTCAACATGATCTTTCCCCATCTTACCTCACGGATCTCATTCAATCATGTCAACCAAATCGACCACTTCGCTCACAAAATAAGCCCTTATTGGTTGTGCCGCACTTGTGGACCCTCTAGAGGTCACATTTTTTTTTATTGATTTCAAAAACCGTTCAAATATATCACAGTTACACCATTACGACTGAGTACAAATCCAAAGTTCAAATGACCGCTTCTCTTTACGCAAATAAGGTAATAGCATATTATGATACCCAGGGCGACATTCGGATGTAAACTGTGGTCGCGACTACAGTCTGAACCAGCACCCGAACGCAAATGGCCCGGACCATTGGCTATTCAATATGGCGGCGCCCATGTCAGTTGTTTCGCGAGCTATATTTTCTGCTATTTACTCATTTCTAAAACTATATTTTTGACGATGGGGATGAAGAAATGCTTTTAAAACATTTTCTTACAACGCTGACTCCACCCGGGTTAATTGGTAACCCAATTTCACAAAGATTTTTTGTCGTGGGCCTATATATATTCGAATAAGAAGATCATAATCTGTCACTCGAATAAAAATCAAAGTTGTTAATATCTATACCCTAATCCTCATTCTGTAAATTCCGGGTGTTACCATGGACCCTGAAATACGGTCCATGGTGTAAATAACGCATTGGCAATCGGCAATTTTATACACTGTAAATAATATTTGTGTATTTTACCGTAAATTGACTGGCAGAAAGTTGCCAGTAAATTGACTGTATTTTAACACTGACTTGTAAATTTACACCCAAGTGGTAGATTTAGATTTACAAACAGCATGTAAATTTACAGTGAGTGTAAAATAACTTGTTCTTGTAAGTAGAAAGCGAAGTAAATTTACCTTCATTGTAACTTTACACTGTGCTTGTAAATTTACCTCAAAGTTATTTTACACTCACTTTGTCCCCACTCGGCTCAGTAATCATAGGTTAGATCCTGGCGAACACATAAAGTTTTGCTGACCTTCTAGCCGAGCATGCAAAACATCATTCCATAATGGAAAGAAATTAAATAAAATGGAATTTAACGCCCTACTTTTCTTCTTCTTACAATGGAAAGAGTAGGAGACATGACACGCAGCAAAATGTCCCACACAACCCTATGTATGGCATATCACTGTCTGTATACGCCAGTTAGGTGCATTCAGATTTTGAATAACCCATTTCTCTAAAATAAACTAATCTGACTGATATAACAGTAAATATTTTGCAAAAAAATCGATATGTGGTCGAAAGGGAATAACCGATTTGAACACTATTTGACAGTAAATTTACAATTTATTGTAAAAATACTATTTCAAATGACATTTCTGTTAATATACAGCTCACATAATGTAAACTGACATATGGTTGTATTTTTACATTATGTTTGATGTAATCGTACGTGTGGCCAAAGAGGGAATAACCGATGTGGCCACTATTTGAAAGTTAATTTACACATTGCTGTAAAAATAATAATTCAAATGACAATTCTGTTAATATACAGCTTACATAATGTAAACTGGCATATGGTTGTATTTCTACATTAAGTTTGATGTAATCTTACATAAGCTTTGTATCCATATGCAATCGGACACTGTATTTAAGTAGACGTATAACTGTAAATATACATACATAGGCGTACTTGGAAATTTTTGACTGGGGGGGGGGGGGGCGGTGGTGGTTGGTGCCCAAAAAATGTAGTTAGGTTCTTAGTATGTTACATAATAGTAATAAATTCGTTGTTAAGAGCGTGTCCGCGAGAAAACCATGCAGAAGATGCTAAGGCTTTAATCACAGATTTTGACTAAATTTGGTTGTGATAGTCCCAAAACACATAAATGTGCAATATTAGATAAATCTTTTCAATTCCTGTATGAGAAAATTGAAAAAACATTTTTCATATGGTGAAATTGCCAAAATCTGTTTTATCTTAAATACCAACTTTGGCAAGTCCTTACACCTTTACTATACGTAGCAGAAAGACCAAACTCACACAGTTTATCGATGACTCAGTGCTGTTACCACAATATTAACTTCAGACGATTCTGGCGAACGAGATCTGTATACGGACTGGATATCAAAGCCTGTCTAAATTCCCCATTTTTCGTCACCCAAAGTTTGACGCCCTATAGCTACTTCTTACATGGGGTGGGTTTAAAAAATTTATGCTCACGTGAACAAGCAACCTCCCAACATTTGATACAAAAAATAAAAATGACCGGAATCGACTTCACAAAAACTAGGTAAAGGAAACAATAACCTATGAAATTAACCTGTAATTTCCCTATTTTGGAGATAATTAACCGTAGTAGATAAAAAAAACCCCTAACAATTTATTTTCCTTTTCATTCATGTGGTGTTAACTACCAGTCCTAAAATACATTAGTATCTGTTTTATAAAAATATCTTGAAAAAAAATACTTTGAAAGGCCT